TAGTATTTGGAGATGAGGTTGGTGTTGTACCATTTGTAGTTGGTCTTGTAGTAGTACTTGGAGATGCGGTTGGTGTTGTACCATTTGTAGTTGGTCCTGTAGTAGTATTTGGAGATGCGGTTGGCGCTGTACCATTTCCAGTTGGTTCTGTGGTAGTATTTGGAGATGCGGTTGGTGTTGTACCATTTACAGTTTGTCCTGTGGTAGTATTTGGAGATGCGGTTGGTGTTGTACCATTTGCAGTTGGTCCCGTGGTAGTATTTGGAGATGCGGTTGGTGTTGTACCATTTGCAGTTGGTCCTATAGTAGTATTTGGAGATATAGTTGGTATTGTAGCATTTGCAGTTGGTCGTATAGCCAGAACTCGAAGGTCGACAGAGTCGTTCACGGTTTTTGTTGTCTCGTTGCCTTGTTGAAAAGCAATTTCAATTGTAAAGATATACACAGAGTTATTCAAGAGATCATCAACTGTGATGTAATTCAAATTGTACCCTTGTTTCATGATGTCATTGATGAAAAAACTTGCATGTCCCTGACGATATGATTTGTTCAAACGGACGCTAAATTGGAATTTTGAGTAGTCTGTTATTATGGTTGCATTAATCCGGTTAAAGAATCCAATCTCTTTTTTTGTAAATGTTTCATCAATTTTGCGATACCTAATGATTCTGATCGAGTCTATAACGACACAATTGCAGTGAGTGAAATCAAACTCCCATGTCAGGGTGACATTCGTGCTGTTTTGTCCAATAACCACGACCAGTGGGTTTGGTGGTTTCTTGGTGAATCTTATGGTGTTGTTCCTACTTCCATAAGGTAAAGCTGGCGTAGTGGTAGTTGGTACAGCTGTAGTATGCCCAGATGACGAAGTGGTAGCAGCGACCGTTGTGGAGTCTGCAATACCTGTGCAAAAAAAAAAAAAAGATTGAAACTTTCAATTCGATTTTTAAGTCAATGGTTCCCTGATGTAGATACTACGGAAGGCCTGGAGGGACATTTCAGACTTCATACTAGGATATTTTAGACTCAGGACTTAGGATATTTCAGACTTCGGACTTAGGATATTTCAGACTTGTTCGGACTTCGGGTGGACTTCGCCATAGTACAATCTCATTGACAAAATGGAGGAAAAGGTAATTTCTTTCTAGACTCAGCTTTTTTGCTAAGTAAAAAAAATCTATTAAGCTTTGGCTGCTACATCACAGCGTGGGACATTCACAACAATCGGAGAACGCGGGAAAAAACTCTCGAAGCACAGGAGAGAACCAACAAACAAACTCACTCACATGCGATACCGTAGCCTGCGTAGCTCGGCTCT